GAGAACCATCCATAAACAAATCAAATATCTGCATTTGTCCGGTTAATGACTGATTCGCAGCTCGATCATCGATCAAACTGGGTAGCTTATAGTGCTCTATCCAATCGAATCAGAGAGTTTTAATAGATATGAGAAATTATTCAAAAGGAATAGCTCAGTGTACAACTCCAACGTAAGCTTTGATAGATTATCCACACATCAAAAGCCTTTTAACAAACTATAGGAACTTAGAGAAAGGATTTATACTGTGAAGAGTAAAAAAAATGAACAGATGCGCGTCCAGGGAATCGAACCCTGGTCAGTACCGTGGGAGGGTACTATGATACCACTACACCAGATGCGCTTTTGTTTCTTTAAACAATATTTAATAATACTTCGAGAAGCTTATGTGGTTATGCTTGAATGTTGTTAACCAGTATCTTTAGTAATATATAACTACATCACAAAGACGACGAACCAGAAGAGTGGCTCTGAAACTGAGTAATATCATGAGGAGCAACATCAACTATACCATTGAGAAAACCAGAGTACCAAGAAGCAAAGAGCTTTGGAGACATCTTGATAATAGGATCCTGCAATTATCATAATACAATCCAAATCTGAGCTTGTATCCAGCTAACAGCTCGTACAAGTTAATCATCGACCAATGAAAGTAACCTGTCATGTCCGATCCATTCTTAAATTCATCCAAAAAGTATTGTTAGACACAGAAAATAGAGTAAACTAGAATTAAACCATTTATACCAATCATATCTGATGGCATTCAACATAGCACCAATGTATCATGAATGTATTCAACTTTTATTTTGTAGCGCCGAATCGTGTTTTGTCGTTAAACCTATTAGCAAATGGAAGAATCTTAAGAACAAGAAAAAATATTGCTTTCAAATCAGACAATACATAGTCCAAAAAACAAAGTAAAGAGACACAAATTTCAAGAATATATATTGGAGGATTGTCATAGATTTTTTTCAGATACTCCAAATAATGTTGGCTTTAACGAAACTAATGACTCAATCGACAAATCCATCAACGAGTCAGACGTTTGCTAATGGTGATTCGCAAGGGGTGATGGAGAATCAAGGTGATCATCTGAGAACTTATCAACAATTCCAACAAATGAATTACTATGACGAGATTGACAAAGATTTATTTTTCGAGATTTGATGGGAATAAATTCAAGGAATAGTTGAGTAAAGCTGAACAGTTCTTTTCCATAGATAATACACCTGAGGAAAAGAAAGTGGGTATAACTTTGATGCATTTTGATGATGAAGCTTCGACTTGGTACAAGAGGATGTAGATGTTGAAGTGTTAAGTACTTGGAGGGGATATAAGAGTAGTCTCAAAGAACATTTTGAGGAAATTCTTGATGATCCAATGACTAAGTTGAAAGAGCTGAAAGAAACTGAGGGTATTACATAGTAGCATGCTAAGTTTTAGCTTGTCAAAACACGATTTAGACTGCCAGAAGAATACTTGTTGAGCGCATAGCTTGCTGGTATACGTCTTGATACTCAAATGCATGTCATGATGTTTGTTCCTCAATCAACTCGTCAATGTTTTGTGCTTGGGAGACTTATGAAAAAGCACATCCATAAAGAGATATGAGAAGCAGTGGAGGGTATTATAAGCCTCAGTTGAATTACAATCATGATGAAGGAACAAAACTGATGAAGAATAAAGGAAGTTGGTTTCATTTTTGTCTCAGGCTGAAATGAATGAGAGAAAGGCTAAAGGGTTGTGCTACTATTGTGACGAGAAGTATTCTTGTGCTCATGCTCAACATCATAAGAAGTCACAATTGTACTTCATGGATTGTGAAAATGATGAGCTGATAGAAGAAGTTTGGGAATTACATGATCAAGACAACACACATGTGGCTCACATATCTGTTAATACCATCACTGGTATCATAGATTATACAACTATGAAGATTAAAGGTTCGCATGGAAAAAAGATCATTTATGTGCTTATTGATTTCGGGCCAACTCATAACTTCATTGGCCTAAAAGTAGCATATTTGTTGGGATGTAGAGTGAAAGAAGCTGGTAGGGCTAGGGTGGCCATAGCTGATGGTACAAAACTCAACGTATGTGGCAAGGTTGAGAAGTTCAAATGGAATTTCCAAGGTCATCATTTCATGAATGATTTCATAATTCCTTTGGGAGGTCATGACATAGTATTGTATGTGAAGTGGTTAGCAATGTTAGGACCAAAAGCTAGAGATGCAGTTTTAACTGAGACAGAAGAAGATCATGTTTCATGGTATAACTCCATGGTCTCTTAGAGACATTAAGGCTAAGAAAATGGAGAATTACAAGGAGACTGAGATGCAACTTCATTCGATTTACGCTTATGAAGAAGCATCAACAGAACCTCTGTAACTGAACTTGGTGAAAACGATGGAAGTGTCTAACAAATTGGAAAAAAGGGTATAACAAAGCGGCAGAAGATATTCAACAAATGGTCGGGAAATATGGTGATATTTTTGAGGAGCCACAGACTTTGCCAGCTTTTAGACAAAATCACAACCATAAGATTGTCTTGATGGAAGGTTCAGATATAGTAAACCAAAGACCTTATAGATATGCGGTGCATCAGAAGAATGAGATTGATAAAATGGTGCAGGAGTTATTAAAAGCATGGTATATACAACCTAGCTCTAGTCCGTATGCATCTCTAGTAAAGAAAAAAGACAACACATGGAGGTTATGTGTTGACTACAGAAGATTGAAAAATATGACTATCAAAGATATTTTCCCTATTCCTCTTACTGAAGATTTGATGGATGAATTGGATGGATCAATGATATACTCTAAAATCGATCTTAGAGCAGGCTATCACCAAATGAGAATGGAGCCAGATGATATGCAGAAAATGGCTTTCAGAACTAACAGTGGTCACTTTGAGTGTTTAGTAATGTCGTTTGGCTTAACTAATGCTCTAGCCACTTTCCAAGGATTGATGAATCATGTTTTCTGTGAATATCTAAAGGAATTTGTGCTCATATTATTCGATGACATTCTGATATATAATTTTTCAAAGAGGATCACTTGTTACACTTGGAGGAGGTATTTAAGACGATGAATTTGAACAAGTTATTTTCTGAAAGAAGCAAACGTGAGTTTGGAACTGATAGAGTGGAGTATGTAAGACACTTTATACAAGCGAGTGGAGTTCCTACAAATCCAATGAAGGTTAAAGCTGTGAGTGACTGGCCGAAACCACATAACTTGAAGATTTTGAGAGGGTTTTTGAGTTTACCTGGCTATTACCGATGTTTTGTGAAGAATTTGGTATCATTTCAAGACCTCTCACTGCGCTAATTAAAAAAGATGGTTGTGTTTGGAATGATGAAGCACAAAAGGCTCTAGATTAATTGAAAAAAGAGTCTCTGCAATGTTCTGTTCTTGCACTACCACAATTTGATACACCATTTGTGGTGGAAACCGATGCTTGTGACTATGGAATTGGAGCTGTGTTGATGCAAGAAGGACACCCATTAGCCTATATTAGCAGACAGCTATAGGGTAAACAACTTCATCTTTCTATTTACGAGAAGGAGTTATTGACAATCCAAAAATGGAGCTACATTATCTTTTGACAAACCACTTTGTCATTAAGACAAACCAAAGAAGTCTCATATACTTACTTGAGAAGAGGCTTAACACGCCAATCTAGCAACAATGGTTACCTAAATTGCTTGAGTTTGACTATTAGATTCGGTATAGACAAGGGAAGGATAATGTAGCCGATGATGCTTTATCAAGGGTGGAAGAGATAATACATATGGCAATGACAAGGTTGCAGTATGCTTTGTTAAAACAAATACAAGATGCTTATGCAGAGGATATGGCTATAAAGGATTTGATTGATGAGTTGAAACTAAATCCAAAAGTAAAGAAGCATTTCTCTTAATCTTAGGAAATTTTGAGGAGGAAGAATAAGATGGTAGTACCACAAAGTGTGACATTACTCTATCTTGGAATGGTTATATTGTTCTAGTCAAGGTGGTCACTCGGGAATAGACGTTACTACACAACGAGTTAAGGGATTGTTCTATTGGAAGGGATTGGCTAAAGATATATAGTCTTATTTAAGAAGTTGTGTGGTATGCCAACAGTGAAAGTATGATACAGCCGCATCTCCTGATCTTTTACAATCTCTTCCAATACCTGAAGCTGTATAAATTGATATTTCAATGGATTTTATTGATGGGTTACCGGTTTCCTTCGGAAAGTCAGTAATCTTTGTAGTAGTGGATCGTTTGAGAAAAGGGGCACATTTCATGGCTTTGAGTCATCCCTATACAATTATGTATGTGGCTCAGACGTTTCTGGATCAGGTTTACAAATTACATTGATTCCCAAGGTCTATTGTGAGTGACCGTGATTCAATCTTCGTCAATGAGTTTTGGCATGGGTTATTTTCTTTGCAAGGGTGTTCATTGAACATGTCAACGACTTATCGCCCACAGAGTGATGGCCAGACAGAGGTTGTCAATAGTTATGTAGAGACCTATCTACGTTGCATGACTTGTGATAAACCTAATATGTGGAGTAAGTGGTTATCATTGACAGAGTATTGGTACAATACTAACTTTCACTCTGCAAAAAAAAAACCACTCCTTATGAGATCATTTATGGACAACCAACACATGTTCATTTATCATATCTTCCGGGAGAGTCAAAGGTTCAAGTGGTGGCTAAATGCTTGGAGGATAGAGAAAATATGTTGGTTATTCTTAAGTTTCATATTATGAGAGCTCAACACCGTATGAAACAAGAAGCTGATAAGCACAGAAATGAGAGAAGTTTTAGATCGGAGATTTGGTGTTTGTACAGTTACTACCCTATCGTCAGTAATCTGTGGTTATTAGAGGATCTCAGAAAATTTCACCAAAGTACTATGGTCCCTATAAGGTGTTAGATAAGCATGGGAATGTTGATTATAATCTGGAGCTACCAAGCACTTCGAGGGTTCATCTTGTCTTTCATGTTTCACAGCTTAAGAAGATGGTGGGAGAGGCAACAACATCGACTCAGCATCCTTCTATATTACAGGAAGCTGAGGTTCGAGTCCTTGAAACTTGTTTGGAAAAAAGATGGTGAAGCGTCAAGGTAGAGCAGAAACCATGGTCTTAGTGAAATGGGTTAATGAAGGTGAAGAAAAGGCAACATGGGAGTACTTGTATGATTTGCAGAAACGATTCCCTGATTTTTCACCGTAACCTTGTGGACAAGGTTTTCTTGGAGGAAATGATTTGATACATAATAAGAACAGAGACACGTGGCAGGTGATAAGGAGTCGTTGGAAGTTTGTTACAAAAGACTCAGCGACTGACAGGTGGCATATTTGGAGTGGTGGGGTTCATCTTTCCGTTAGGACCAAAGACTCTTTTCTTATGGAATTCTAATGAAAGTTCTTCTTGATTCGTTGAAGTTTAAGGTCTTTTTTCTCTTTAGATCTTTTACTCTTGAGCTACAATTCTGTGTTTTATGAACACTGAATAGATTATAAAGGTGTGATTACCTTTCTCACTAGATTCCACGACTCTCTTCATTACATCAGGATAGTCCCCAAACACCAAAGGCTTCAATGACATGTATTAACATATTAAAATCCCCAGAATTTATCTTCAATCAATTTTACTCAAATAACAACAAACAAAAACTCTTCTCCTCACCAGCCAAGGAAGAAATCTTTAGCTCTCTGAGTTGCTATTTCATCTTCTTTGGACTTAGTACAAAGAAATAACCCATATGTATATATGCAAATGTCTACAAGTCCTCTCTACTTATTTTCTCCCATCACATTATGTTCATAAGGTTTTAAGAGCCAAAATTAGACTTATATATATATATATGTGTGTGTGTGTACTTTGTACTTGAGTCTATACAAGTTTGAAGCAGAGGCATGAGCTAGCAATATGTTTAGCCTGCAATATATGGTTCAGTAGAAGAGTTTCCAGTGGAGCAATTGAGGTGCCTTGAAATAAAACAATGTCTTGGCTGCAAAATTCCTTGACTGATATGCTCCAATAGCGAATATGTTGACTGTATGCTCCAATAGCGAATATGTTAGATTCTTTAATTGTAGTCCATAGCTTCACCTCTTCACCAAATTCTCTGAAAAATACATCTGCAAAAGCAGTAAAGTCCTCTGTGCAACAACAATCTTTCTTTCAATCCATTAATAATATATATTAAGACTTTGTTAGATCAGAATTATTTTTTACATGATTTTGGGTTGATCCATCCTCCGTACTCATCTGATAAGCATAAGTGGCAGTTCCGAAGAGAAAATCTTCAGGAAAATCATCTCTTGTGAAAGCATCAGTCTTACTTGTTGCCAAAACAATAACCACAGAAATGGATAACAGAGAAAAAACTTTCATTGTTATTTTTATTTCTTCAGTAACATTTGAGTTTCCAATAAATTATAATGTGTTAGTGTTAATAAAAATAAAATACGAGAATATATGTAAAAACTACAGAGTTTTGGGTACATAACTATTAATATTAAGTTTTGGGTAAAACATTAGAGACTCTATGATATTTTTGTTTCTATAATAGTAGTTAGAATCAGTTTCGTTCCAACTAATTAATATTTCTTTTCACAAAATAAAAATTGCTATTTTTTTTTCCATATTTTAGAGTAAACTATAGCAATCTCTATTTTTCATTTTATATTTTGAAGATTGTTAATATAAAAGAATACATTAGAGCAAACTATTATCTATTGTATAGACTCTCTATTTTAGGGAAAGATATAGCAAAATGCATTAAAGATGATTTTAGCCAAGATAGTCAAAACCAGTTATATGTAGTGTGTAATGTAAAATGTTAATTGTGTGGTGTATGATATTTTTTTTTCTATAATAGTATTTAGAATCAATTTCACCCCAACCAATTAATATTTCTTTTCATCAACTAAAGATTGTTATTTTTCTCCATATTTATAGTTAGCAATCTCTGTTTTTCATTTTATATTTTGAAGATTGTTATTATAAGAGAATACATTAGAGCAAACTATTCTCTATTATATAAACTCTCTATTCTAGGGGAAAATATAGCAAAATGCATTAAAGATGATTTTAGCAAGATAATCAAGACCAATTATATGTAGTGTGTAATGTAAAATGTTAGTTGTGTGGTATATGATATTTTTGTTTATATAATAGTATTTCGAATCAATTTCATAATATTTAGAATCAATTTCACTTCAACCAATTAATAGTTCTTTTCACAAAATAAAGATTGTTATTTTTTCTCCATATTTAGACTAAACTATAGCAATCTCTATTTTTCATTTTATATTTTGAAGATTGTTATTATAAGAGAATACATTAGAGCAAACTATTCTCTATTATATACTCTCTATTCTAGGGAAAAATGTAGCAAATGCATTAAAGATGATTTTTGCTAAGATAGTCAAAACCAATTATATGTAGTGTGTAATGTAAAATGTTAGTTGTGTGGTGTATAATGTAAAATATCAAATATCTATAGAATATTCCATAAAATATTTCTTAACTTTTGTACTATAAATGAGAAAGTTTGGAGTGTGTTGTAATCAAAAATAGTCAATTGAATGAGTTAAATTCTGAAGAATCTCTCAAATTCTTTATAACATTTTTGAATGTTCTTGATAAAATAAAGATCCCTTGTTATAAATCTTTTTTCTCTCTCTAATTTTAAACACCTATCAATAAACTATTCACTCCAACCAATTAATATTTTTTTTCCAAGACTAAACTATAGCAATCTCTATTTTTCATTTTATATTTTGAAGACTGTTATTATAAGAGAATACATTAGAGCAAACTACTCTCTATTATATAGACTCTATTCTAAAGGAAAATATAGTAAAATGCATTGAAGATGATCTTAGCTAAGATAGTCAAGACTAATGTAGTCAAGACTAATGTAGGAAAATATAGTTTGCTCTAAGATAGTCAAGACTAATTGTATGTAGTGTGGAAGGTAAAATGTAAGTTGTGCAGTGTATAATGTAAAATATCAAATATCTACAGAATATTCCACAAAATATTCCTTAGATTTTGAATAAGGAAGTTGAGAGTGTTGTAATCTAAGATAGTGAATTGAGTGAGTTAAATTCTAAAGAATCTCTCAAATTATTTATAACATTTTTGAGTGTTCTTGATAAAATAAAGATCTCTTGTTATAAATCATTTTTTTTTAATTTGAAACACCTTATCAATAAACATTTGAGGATAAAACCTTCGTTTGTGGTTGTGGTTTATAGTTTGGTATCAAGCACACCCATTAACCCAAAAGTCACGGGAACAAAGGTAATAAACTATACTTTTGAGCACTGATTCTCTTTAAATATTATGAAATGTAACGTTAACGTAATAACCAAAAGTTATAGCTTAAACCAGCTATCTTTGGAATAAAAAAACAGTGATCGATCCTTCTTTTTATCAACAAATTACCACTAACGACTAATTAAAAAGCATCTTTGGCTAATGATAAGTAAATCATTAAACTGAATATGTACAAGAAAATCATTAGATACTCCTCCATACACGAATCCACCCATCAATGGGAGATCATAGTAGAATAACTTTAATTAAGGAAACTACAAACGAATAAAGAAAGGAATGAAACATTAATGTGTGTCCTAAACGAAACAACATTCTTCCTCACGTTGTCGACGAGAGCTTAGCCGCTTTAAACGACGGATGAAGCAGCCCAAACTCGTCTTTAGCATCTAGCGGCCTGTCCATCTGGCTACGCGTTGGTTTCACGCTTCGGCTCCCTAGCGACTTATGCGTGAAACCATACATCTGAAGGATCTGATTGTCTCCGAAATTAAACGCTCTATCCATCTGCCGGAGACACCTCTCAACCGGATAATCTCCAAACTTCCCACACGGTTTGCACCCCACGAAATGAGTGACAAGTGGCCACCGGTGGTCTCCAAAACCCGGTTTATAATTCTCAATCATCTCCTCGTACCGGTCAACCAAAATCCCCCAGTAACCGTGCAAGTAATAACCACTCTCTAGATAAACTTTCCCTCCCCATTTCTCCCTCTCAGTCGCCAAAAGATATACCATCGCCGACTGATCATCGGCTTCGAAAGTGGGCCGGTCTTTTAGCTCCCGGGTCAAGATTTTACCCGCTTCTTCTCGGATCTTCCCTTTAGGACCCATGGGAGCCCAAGAGTCGAGGAGATCGAGAGACCACTGTGAGTTCCTAATCAAAAAACTTCCAGTGTTGAGACCAATCCAACTCTTCTGGTCGTAAACCATCTCTTTCCATCCGTGCATCACGAGGTTGTAGTCCTTGTACCTCTCCCAAGGAAGCTCGAACACCATGTCTGTAAACATCGCGTCACTGTCCATCCACCATAGAAACTCGATCTCAGGATGAGACAATAACAGTTTCCGAATCAACGGAAGCTTGGCCCAGAACCCAGCCATCTCAGCGTCGAGCAACGCCATGTTGTAGAAGATCTCGATCCCGTGGATCCGACAGTAATCGATCTTGTTCTTGATTGATTTCAAGAGGTAATGGTCACCGACAGGATTCTCGCAAGGCTTAGGAGCTGAACCTGTGACAAGAAGAACCCTAGGTTTGTTCGGAGCAACGAAGTTTGGAAAGCTAGGGTTTTGTTTGAGCCAATCACGCCTCTGCTCGTCCCAATCAGAGATCTTGGGACCGAGAGAATACGGTTTACTCCGGTCTTCTGATTTCTCTTCATCTCCTTCCTCAACGAATATCTTTTTGAAATCGAATGTCTCGTAGTTGTTGTTGCTGTTTCCAGCTACTTCTTTCGACGACGTCGTTTTGGAGGAGGAGACCTCGACGAGGACACGGTGAGTCTCGGCGCGTTTGCGAGAGTAGAAGAAATGCTCGCGGATCTCCTCGATGTCTTGCTCCGGCGTACCGAACTTACCAGCTCCGATTGTGCCACGTAGGACGACGACGGTGAGAACGAGGCAGAGAAGCGTCACCTTTCCTTGACGCCAGACTCTCTGTAATCTCCTAAAACGCTGCGTTCCTAAGCATTTCTCTATCATCTTCTTCTTCTGGTTCTCGAAACACAGATCTTTCGGACACAATCAATCTAGGAGAGAATCAGAGAAATTTAAGGAAAATCTAACGAGATTTCTGGTGTTTGTGATTTGTAATGAGGACATAAATTAATTACACGCGTTTTTTGGTATTTTAACCACGTAAAAAGGAGGGATTAACGAAGAGATTAAAAAGCATTAAAAGAAGCAAAAAAGGCATTAGATTTTTGATTAAAGAAGTAAATAAGGATTTTGAAAATTTGTGAAATGTCAGACAGAACATGCCTGCCTGTCTTATTCTAGACGCGTGATCTTTGTCCTAAAATGTCAAGACACAACAACACTCTTGGTAGATTCGCTATCTTTCTGATCCTGATTGGGCCGTAATAAGATAAAGCCCAACTAATACCTCGGCCCCAAATTACAGGTAATTTTGTTTTCGTTAAACAGAGAACGTTAAGTCGTTGATGGGAAGATGAAACATAAATCGACAGTTAATAGTTTAACATTAAGCTCACACAACTGTCCGGTTCAAAATTAGAGCGCCAAAAAATAACAGCCGCTAACTAATTTGCCGTTTGAGCTTAATTAACGGCCTGTTTTTATAGAAAAATATGTTACTATAAATTGATAGGTTCGTGTTTACTTTCATTTCAGGATTTAGAAATATTATTAATACTATTTTTAGAAAAATTTATATTCTGAATTCTCACTGATTAACGGAGAGGGTCTCCGCCAATGGCCGGCGTCAGAAGCTTTTTCTTGTTCGCGGCGATTGCTTTACTGTTCGCTGGTCGTTATGGAGACGCTACCGCAGCCTCTAGAGGTTACATTAAATATAAAGATCCAAAAGCAGCGGTTGAAGATAGAGTAGAAGACTTATTAACACGTATGACATTACCTGAGAAACTTGGTCAAATGTGTCAAGTTGATCGTTTCAACTTCTCTACCCCCTTTGGTCCACAGCCAGAAATGTTCACAAAGTACATGATTGGTATGTTACAAACAAAACTATATGTTATATATCAAAATATCGAATAAAAAAGATTTTATGATTTGAATTTTGTGCATGAGTATAGGAAGTGTTTTGAGCAATCCCTATGATACTGGGGCTAATATATCAAAGCGGGTTGAAATAGCGAACATCATGCAAAAACTGAGTCTCTCTACGAGGCTTGGAATCCCTATGCTTTACGCTATTGATGCAGTTCATGGCCACAACACTTTTATTAATGCCACCATCTTCCCCCACAACGTTGGTCTCGGTGCCACTAGGTATATATATGCATGTTCTTACATGAAACGTAACATAGAATACCCCTAGCTAGCGGTGTTTCATAGTTTTTGATTGGATGTGAATGCTTGTTGTTGTAGGGATCCTGAACTTGTTAAAAAGATAGGAGCTATCACCGCACTTGAAGTAAGAGCAACAGGAATCGCGCAAGCTTTTGCGCCTTGTGTTGCAGTATGCAGAGATCCTAGATGGGGAAGGTGCTATGAGAGCTATAGTGAAGATCCGAAAATTGTGAATATGATGACGGAAAGTATCATGGATGGATTACAGGGAAATGCTCCTTACGTCGCTGATTTCCAGTAAACAAAGACATAAAGCTATTTTTTAACCTAAATATTAATGATATTGATCGCTAGTTATCTAATGTGAAAATGTATGTCTATGCGATCAGGACTAAACTGGCTGGTTGCGCCAAACATTTTGTTGGTGACGGAGGAACGGTAAATGGAATCAATGAGAACAACACTGTGGTTGACAAGAATACTCTCTTTAATGTCCATATGCCTCCTTTCGAGACAGCGGTAAAGAAAGGGATAGCATCAATCATGGCTTCTTATTCTAGTCTTAACGGTGTTAAGATGCACGCAAACCGGGCAATGCTCACTGATTACCTCAAGGGCACCCTCAAATTTCAAGGCTTTGTTATCTCTGACTGGCTTGGAATCGATAGGATCACAACTCCACCTAGAGCAAATTACACTTACTCTATCGAAGCTTCCATCAATGCCGGCATTGACATGGTTGGCTCTCTTCTTCTTCATTCTTCCTTTTTCTTGTTTTCATTTCAAGAATCAATAAACAGGTTCTTGATATGCTATATATTTTCTTAGACTCCGTATTAAGAAATTAAAAAAATAAATGTAGGTTATGGTCCCATGGGAGTACAAAGAGTTCTTGGAAAAATTGACAAACCTAGTGAACGGTGGATACATTCCTATGAGCCGTATAGACGATGCTGTTCGAAGAGTCTTGAGGGTCAAATTCTCTCTCGGTCTCTTTGAGAATCCAATGGCAGAGAACACTCTTGCCACCGAGTTCGGATCTGAGGTAAATTCATATCTATTCTCTGACCATGGCAAACTATTACAGTTAGTCTTATTACACAATAAGTCATGCGGGATTGTTAACATAACGCTAATTGTAGGCGCATAGAGAAGTAGCGAGAGAGGCGGTGAGGAAATCAATGGTGCTTCTAAAGAACGGGAAGACAGACAAGGACAAAGTTGTTCCTCTCCCGAAGAAGGTGAAGAAGATCGTTGTTGCGGGCGCACACGCTAACAACATGGGCTGGCAATGTGGTGGCTTTACTCTCACTTGGCAAGGATTCAACGGAACCGGAGAAGATATCGCTAGGAACAAAGCCATGCATCTGCCTACCGGTAAAACCAGAGGTAAAGTAATACAAATAAATGTCTAAAGACGATATACGTAGAATATTAAGTTCATTCACACATGCATTATAATATATGGATGTTTATATTTAAAACGTTGTTTCAAAACATATATAGGAACTACAATCTTGGACGGTATCTTGAAAACAGTGGATCCCACCACTGAAGTTGTCTACGTGGAGGAACCAAACCAAGATACAGCGAAGCTTCATGCCGATGCAGCATACACAATTGTGGTCGTAGGTGAAGCTCCATACGCAGAGACAAGAGGGGACAGCACCACTCTAAACATGGCCGAGCCAGGTCCAGACACAATCAGCCACACGTGTGGTAGTGGTATGAAGTGTGTAGTGGTCCTAGTCACAGGACGTCCTCTCGTGATCGAAGCGTACATTGACTTCATGGACGCTGTTGCGGTCGCTTGGCTTCCAGGAACCGAAGGACAAGGAGTCGCTGATGTTTTGTTTGGTGATCATCCATTCACTGGCACGTTGCCTCGCACGTGGATGAAGAGTGTGTCTCAGCTTCCGATGAACGTTGGTGACTCGACCTACGATCCTCTCTTCCCCTTCGGATTTGGAATTACAAATTAAGTGAATAATCAAATCATCTGTCATGTACGTAAAATATGTGAAAAATGTTTAATGTGACGCTTCTTCAACGAATATTTGATCACTATATACTCTGCTATACGTGCGTACGATGCAATTTGTTTACAGATCAAAACAAACCTGTTCACGGCTTGATGATTGAGCATGTTTTTTCCAAGATGGACTTGGGCCCAATGCCTGTCATTTCTGAATGAATTTGATTAGAAAAGATTCCTTAGCTCATTTATAGTTGACAATATTAGCATAACAACAAAATCATACGTAAAGGCTAGATATCCATTTATAGCACAAAGGCTAGATATCCATGCATTGACATATATAATACGACTCTATATCCGTGGAGTTTTATTTTGGAAAATATACGTGTAACATGATTCCAAATAAGGATGTAAACATAACATTTAAAGAGACAAACTCTAAATGTTGACTAAGTAAACTTGTATTAATTGTGCAGCACGACCCTCGTGCACGATTTATTATACGTCGGCTAACTAATTTAGACCATGTGCATCGCTGGTTTCTAAGGGAATTTTACAAACAAAAAAATAGTGGTGGGCACATAAATCAGCAAAAAAAAAAACGGTAACAAAAGTGATCAAACAAAGATAGACTATTGTTGGTTTTTTGTTGCGAGTTTCACTAACTCGTGGCAACCCATATTTGATTCATTTTTAATTTTTTTTTCTCAGACCAAAAAAAAAAAACTAAGAAACACTTAAACCCACTTTAGCGATAATCATGCTCTTAGTCGCCCAGCTAACACTGACCAACTTGTCTGCAATATAGGAATACTGATCCTATGATGTTGTATACAACTAGACTTGGTTTCACGACTAAATTAGAGCTGCTTCATATATAGTGTTCTTGTCATTTTCGTATTGTATAACTATATCGTGCAATCAATCTACGGTTAATAATGACCGTATAGCACTAGAGTCTAGACTCATAAACTATGGTTTATTGGGTCCATAACGAGAAATAGTTGTTCATGAATTCACTAGACACATATGTGAACACAGCATCCACAACTGAAAAGAAGAAACGTTCTACCTTGAGAACAATCAACATATTATAAATAATCTATACCAAAGTAACTTTTAGAGTATATTTCTTATATAATCATATAAGCTGTCGGATAGATCAAGCAAAAGACGTTCCTCAGATAATTTTATTAAATACAATTTTCAAAACATAATATAACCACAAAGAAAGAATGCATCGATAATGCAACAAATCAAAAGAAATTGGTACAAAGAAAAAAATTAAATAACATTTTGAAGGGAAGAGTTTTCAAACTAAAAATTGATCAACGGGGCCTCATATATAATGCAAGCAAAATCATCACCATATTAGTATGATCATCATCAATATTTGGGAGTGGTGGGAGCAGACTTGGGACCAGTAAAGTAGAAAGGTCCGACGTTAAAGATCTTCAAGTTCTTGTCGGCGTGGTAACGGTATCCGTACGTCGACAATGGAACTCCGGTGAGACCCTTGTTGACATTGGTCGGGTTCTTGCAAGTCTCAACAGGAGATGTATAGAGCTTGACACGACAGTGAAGTAGGTTCTTGATAATGTCAGTCAACGCCACGTGGAAGTATCCCTTAGAGTCAGTTGGATCGCTGTAGATCACAACATCCTTCTTCCCGTATGATCCTGGCTCGGAGCACACGATCTTTGCCTTGGCTCCTACATGAATTCAATTAACCGAGTTTTCTGATTAGTAATTTTGTTGTGATCATAGATATTTAATAACAGAAGCTTAAGAATGTATTTATACCTTGAATTGGGTAGGTTTGGTAACCGTTTTTGCAGAGAATGATGCCATCAACGACTTTAGGAACCTCTGGGACATATGTCTTGGTGGGTGGAGTGTAGGCTGGTTTTGGAACATATGGCTTGGTGGGTGGAGTGTAGGTCGGCTTTGGGACATACGGCTTGGTGGGAGGAGTGTAGGTTGGTTTTGGAACATATGGTTTGGTTGGTGGAGTGTAGGTTGGCTTTGGGACATATGGCTTGGTGGGTGGAGTGTATGTTGGTTTGGGGACATATGGCTTGNGAGGAGTGTAGGTTGGTTTTGGAACATATGGTTTGGTTGGTGGAGTGTAGGTTGGCTTTGGGACATATGGCTTGGTGGGTGGAGTGTATGTTGGTTTGGGGACATATGGCTTGGTGGGTGGAGAGTATGTTGGTTTGGGGACATATGAAGGAGGAGAATAGCTAGGAGAATTTTTGTAGACTGGAGGAGGGAGAGTTGGCTTGTAAACCGGTGGAAGAGTTGGTTTGGTGTAAACCGGAGGTGGGAGTGTAGGCTTGTGGGTGTAAACCGGTGGTGGAAGTGTAGGCTTGTGGTTGTAAACCGGTGACCGGTGAACTGGAGGAGATGAGGGAGAGTAGTAAGCAGTAGCTATGGTGGCCAAAGAAAAGAGGAGGCAAATAGCCAAGGAGGTGTTTTTTATCGCCATTGCAGAGAGCGTGGCCTGTCTTAGTTCGTTTGTTTATGTTCTTTGCGTTTTAAGTGGGATGAGAAAAATGTTTTCTTCAGATGGGGTTTTATAAGAAAATGTTAACGAGTAATGAAGAATTGAAAAATGTTATATCACAAGTGAATAATAGAAAATCAAGATTTGGTATTCATATAAATATATAACAGTGATGCACGATCATAAACATGCTCCCCATTCACAGCCGTACAGACGGTCGCCTACCAAAGAGTTATACGAGCATAGCACTGAAAAGGACATCAACTAGGTGGACATTAATATTTTTTTAACGGCTGATGGACATTAATATATTCAAGGAATATAGAGGCCAGTAGGACAGCTTTATTTGATATTTCACAAAACTTGGTCTGATTTTGGGTAATAGAAACGTTTGTGCCATATATGATAACTTAGCATGAGTTACAGTCCCTGTTAGGAAAAACGTGTTAGTCAAGCAATCCGTCCGGACCTAATGATTTATTGAAAAGGCAGAAAGTACGCGAAATTTATGCGGGGTGCAATTTTCTTTTTTAAAAGTATACTAGATTTTGACCCGCGCTTAAAAGCGCGGAAATTTTTTATGATTAAAAATTCATATAATTGGGTTTTGTCTTAATTTAAAGAATATTTTGATATAAAATCGGTTCACCAAAATTTGTGGTGATGATTGTTTTTCATTAGTTTTTAGATTCAGTTTTTATTTTTAGATTTTGGTTTTTGGTTTTTAGTTTTTAAGTTTCTACTTTTTATTTTCAGTTTTTGGTTTAGGGTTTTTAATTTTTAAACCCGCTGAGTTAGTTTAAACTAATATTACCAACAAACAAATCTCAAATAATCGAACATATAATTTAAAACTGAAAAGATGATAACAATTTTTTTTTCAATAAATTTGAAATAGTTTATTTTGTAAATAAACAAAGCAAAAAAATATAACATGTCTTTTCAACTTTTGGTTTTGTATTTGGTTTTGCTTTACATTTTTTAATCATTAAATTATTTAAGAAAAATAAAACAATAAATTATTTAAAAGTTACCATTGAAATTTATCAAAACAAAGTGATTGTTATTTAAAATAAAAAATATATTAACATGTTTTAAAGTACATGATTTAAATAAATGATTAATAATAGATAATTTTGTTTTGTTAAAAACATTAAATACCTTTTGGGTCTGAAAATAATAATTGATTTTTTGATCTTTTAAGGTGAAAAGTTTATTCAATGTTTTGGAGTTTTTTCTTAATACTAAGCCAAAAAACCAAACTATATAATTTGTTCAAAAAATAAAATTAAGTTCAAGACTATATTCCATAAATAACCACTGGTTTAATTTAAATATAATTAGTAGATTTCCACATTCCATATTTTGATGATATATATTCTTTTAGAACATTCCATATTTGTAGGAGAAAATATGTGTTTTTGGTATACACATAGATACCTGCCGTATTTTGAAGGTAGTTTACATTAAGATCGTCTCTTTACATTAATTGTGTTGGTTTAATTTAAATAATACGGTTCAATCAATTATATAACTTATATTATTTGTAACATTTTAGAAAGGGTCCGAATTTAAATGACAACTTGTATCGGTAGATAAAAGAATGACTCTATTTTAATAGAGTAGATATATATATATATTAAATATTTGATGTAATATCAGTTTATAAGAAGTATTAAAAACAAAATGTCGTAGCTCAGTGGTATGTATGAGTTCGCATCGCCTTCAGCTTTGGGTTTAATATGTTGGATATGCAGTTTTGATGTGTATTTTTTTTTTTTAATGATTTTCTTGTAGAAGGGCAAATTTTTAATTTTGCTGTTACCTTCTTCCTCGACCTAGTTGTTTACAGAGTTAATGTGCGGCCGTTTTCACTGTTCCTGAACACGAATCATTATTTTTTAATAGATTTTCGTAGATTCAACTTAATTTTAACTACCATCATAATATAATAGATCTATGGTGTGTGTTGGACCCAGATTCGTTCCTACATCTCTGACGTTACTTGGTTTGAGTGGATCAAAGGAAGATAACAACACTCTATGAGAAACGGTCTTGGCATCCTTAAAAATGAGGAAGCTGGTGCTTTATTTGAGGAACACGTGCCACCATAAACCAAGGGGAACGGAGGCGAGCTCGTCATATAAAAGGCAGAGATGTAGCTCTTGTAAAGGGCATCTCAATTTTCCATGAATAAGTTCCCCATAAGAAAAGAGTAGTAAATAAAAAGGTATCACATCGCTAGATGAGATAACGTTGACGAGATTATAAATGATTCTAGTTGTTCAAGAAGGAGAGCTCGAGCTCTTAGACTGTAAACAATACACTTTCTTACTACTTTGATATTTCTTAAGAAAGACGCATGGCTCTTTCACAACATCTCTATCCCACTCAATGGGAACAACGATCACAAAGGTTTATTCTACAACTACGTTAATTAAATCATCACCACCCTGGAATGGTTAAACGAGGAGGAAGAAGAAATATTCCTTTATTCC